GGGCTGCGTGATATGGAGGACATCAAATATCAGAGTTTTACCAAATACCTCGACAGCATAATGATATCGGAGGGCTGACATTCACAACATGTTTACACAATGAGATTTTTGATATTAATCATCAATAATGTGGATATAATGACAAAGTGGGTAAAAACAGAACAATCCGGTAAGTTTAAAGATGACATCGCTTCACTGTAATGCAGTGTAATAACAGTCACCACGCACATATTACAATATCTAGTCTCGTGTCAGGATATCGATATGATATATCAATATATGTCCCAGCTCGACAGCAAATATTTTGACAAACCATTTTCACTGCCATGTCTTTAATCAAAGGTGCCAAACATTCAGTGACTAATGCTAAAGCCTTGATAATAATACACTGAATACATTTTGGGTTTGGACTGTTGGTTGGATAAACAATACATTGAAAGATGGACATTTTCACATTTTATAGTCCAAATAATTAATTGAGAAAATAATTGTCAGATTAACCAATAATGACGGTAATGTATTTGTTGCATCCCCAAAGCAAACCATGCTACGAACTGTAACAAAGCAACATTATTTATTATAAAGTCTAAGACATAATGTTGTGAATGCTGCAATAACAAAAATAATTCGTCAAGAAAATAAAAAAAGCATAGAAAGTTTGTTTAGGATGTTAAACTGCTCATAAACCTCATCAAGACTTTCCTCATTTCATCACTTGGTCCAAATACAATATGTTCAAAGTGCCTGTTTTGTACATTCAACAGTTTATATGTATTAATTCATTCATGTAAATGTTCATTTGACCATAATAGAAGATGAAGAAAACCTGAAAACGTTCACGATTGAGAAGCAAATCAGTGAAAATGATAAATCACTGCTTAATAAAAAACAAACATAAAACGGTTTGTTGAGGATATAATGTTGTAAAAGTTCAAACTGAGGGAAGACCCGGTCTATAAAATGTAATTTTGCTTCACAAAATGACTTAATTTTCTGTGGATCGTCAATTGAGAACTCCTAATTGTTTGAGCGCGTGCAGCTGTAAAGCAAAGTTTACAAGCTGTTTATCCTCGCAGAGAAAACACCCTCTGCAGACTGAGCTTCGGTGTCAGCCCATCTCTGTTCCTGCCAGTTGATGGCAAGTTCTCCACGTCTCCGGTGGAGCCAAGGAAATGACATCATGTCCCTGTAGGGGTTGAAAGCACAGCCCTGACAGGACTGTCGTGACAAAAGAGTTCCTTGGGAACATCACGGTGCACCGAGGACAGAAAAAGAAACGTGTCTGGAGGCTGTGTTTTCTTAGTTCCTGTAGCTCCCGTCTCCCACTTCTAACCCATCAACCATTTTCTGGTGTTTGAAATTCCCCTCTCACATGTGTCTTTTTTTTTTTCCTGCCCTGAATGTAGGCCATGGGGGCGGGACAAAAAAGTTCCCCAAATTAGCAGTTATTCAAAGAGTGGAAGAGGAATCATTGTGTTGGCGAGATCCAGCTCAACGTCTCTATTTCACTTGTAGGTTTTCAGGCTTACACTTGGACTTGCGCATTCATGTTGTTCCCGTCTTACTTGATATGTATGTATGTATGTATGCGCTCTTTATCTCTCTCTTCTCGGCGTAGACAATTGAAAATAAATTAACATTCCTGGGCTTTATTTTTGTCTTCTCTAAGCCGGTGGAGAAAACTTTGAGGCGAACCCGGGAGGTCAGGCCAAACTCACAGGCTGTCAATCCTCCGCAGTGACCCTGCCGCCCCTTTCTTTCTCCCCCTTCCATTCTTCTCCTCCTCTGCTCTCCCTCTCCCATCCATTTAGTCCCTCCCGGCTTAGAAACTCCCAAACTCCCCCCGTCTCCCACTCGCTCTTTCACTGGACGCCTCTCCAGCTTGAGTGAGGCAGACACAAGCTTTGTCAAAAGAGAGACTCGCATTCATTCGGCCGGCTGTTGCACACGGCCGTGTATTTCATGTGAAGACATGTGGGCTGTCTCCTTCTATCCATTCATTTTAATTATGTTTTAATTGCCCGCCGTCCTCTTTTAAATGCTTGCTTATTATTTCTATCGGGCTGATGTAAAAAATTGGCTGTGGACTGTGATTCCCTCCATTATCTTAACTGATGATAGATTTCTCTCCTTGGGTTTCCAGTGTGTATGTATGGCAGACAAAAGAAAAACAGATGTCGTGAATGTTTGCGTATCATTTTTCATTTCATTGGTAGATTTATTTATTTATTTTTTATTTTTTTTGGCCCCGTTTGCAGAAAGACACACTGTTAATAGAGCGAAAACCTGAGGGAATATATGTACTTGTATTTTTTTTAGGGCGAGGAGCTGAAGGTCCAGATGAAAATGAATAACTTTTATTTAGCCAGTGGTCTTCTGCTGCATATATTTCTGTATTCCTATTTTTTTTCCCACTCCACTTTATTTCTGATCAGAGTCTAAGGCAGGAACATAAACACACATTAGAATAAGTAAAAAACACAAACTGGTGTGGCACATTTTAAAGGATCATGATGATGTGGTCTCAGAAACCATCAACGATAAATGTGATTTTTCGTGGCTTCTTGTGAATTTGGCATGAAAAGTACTTAAAGGGACAGTTCACCCTAAAATCAACAGTACATATTTTCCCTCCTACCTGAGGAGCCGTTCATCAATCCAGAGTGTCCTGGCGCACGTTGGAGACATCGCCGTAGAGATGTCTGCTGTCTCTCAGATGTACAGTAGTTCCAGCCCAGTGGAACTACATCTTGTGGTTTATATCAACTGTTTGCGTTTATTAGATTTAGTGTAGGTGGCAACAGTTAATCATAACTGCGTACCCTTTTTTTTTTTTTTTTTTTTTTTACACATCTGCCTCAGTGGAACATGAGGATCATTATGCGAAAATAAAAAGTTGGCCTCAATTACCAGATTTTTGGGGAGGGTGGGGGTGTATGGGTGGTTGGTGTAGATAATTCCTCAGCACCTTCTCTGAGGGGTTAACGATGCCTCACTTACCTCTTAAAGTCATTTTCTGCTTGAGAACATCTTAGCCCCCCACAATCATCATCCCTGTCCCCTGATGTGAAATCATGATAAGTCTGTCAGCGCTTGTGTAAAGCATCTTAATGTTAATCGCCTAATCCTTTTATCTCAAGTCCAGACCGATTCAGCGCAGCAATCCCACCAAACAAAACAGTGGTTCGTTTTTCTCCGGAATATGAGCATGGCTGTGTCCTCCAGCAGCTTAAGGGAGGAAGAAGACGTGTTACCCAGCAGGGTGACGCCTGATCAGGAGAAAGAACCCCGGGGTGGTGGGGGTAAGTCTGCATCCGCGCGGCCTGGCGGGCTCTCGCCCCCTGGTGTCTGGAGGGGCTGAGTGGCTCAGCGGTCCCAGCAGGCCAGAAGGGCAAGGGTATGTCCCCCCCAACGGTTTCCAATCTCCTCCTGTCAACCACTAGTATGGCTACCCCCGTGGCCCCAGGCTTCATATTTGCAGAAGATTAATGGGCGACGAAGAAGTCACGTGTGTCTCTGGAGATTTGATGTTCGGCCCAATATTGAACTGGTGGCCGTCTTGTCAGAAGACTGGAGAGTGCGAGCAGCCTCAGCAGACGTGGAGCGAGACTTTTACCGCATAGAGGAGCTCGCACCTACCAATTTTGGTCTTATCTGATCTGGTCCTGCGCCACTGGCAGATAAACAACTGGAAGACAAATAAAACAAACAATCCCTATAAAAAACCACCCAGGTTTAACTGATAAATCATAGGTTAGCTCTGTGTGTGTTTTCTTGGCACACAGTGTGCTGCACAACTGCTCGGCCAGGCTGACCTCAAATGAAAATAAACACACTCAGGCTGCTGGGTACAGATCCAGTGGGCCTTTTTTTTTTTTTGTTGTTGTTCAGCTATTATCCTTCAGAACCAGGTGTCGGGTCCTGTATAGAACATATCTCATAGTGACTTGAATTATTACTCGGTATGCTGATGTGAAAGCTTCCCATGTTTTGTGGGTTCTCATGTTGCCAAAAATATCCAAGCGCATTAGTGAGACCCAGGGAGCGATCAGAGCCGACTGCTGGGCTGCTCAAATGTAGGTTCATTGTAAAATAATCAGGCTCGTTGACGAGCGGCTCTGCAGCGGCGGCGTTCAGATTCAGAGACTGGGAAACATTCGCTCTCCTCTGCATAGCGACGGCTACCAAGTGGCCGGTCCTGTTTTGTGTGTGTGTGTGTGTGTGCGTGTGCGTGTGTGCGTGTGCGCGTGCGCATTGGAAAGACGCTGGATGGCAACCACATGGGAATAAACAAGATACGATATATTGACGTGCGTGGGTGTGTGGATCCTGTCTCTGCATGTGTGTCAGCAATGTCATTGCCTATATGTTTGTGCAGGCATGCGTGTGTGGGTGTGTGTGTGTGTGTGGCATTTCACGTATGACACAACACATCCCTCCTTGGTGTTTGACTTTGGTAAGCAGCTTATCTTTCTGGTGTTAGTCCGTCTCTGGCTCTAACCTTTTGCTGCTTTTGCAGACAAAGGGCTGTTTTTGCCACCCCTTGATAAGGACGGAGACTAAAGTAGTCCTCAAAGCGGCTGTGTCTCTAATGGCGTCCCTGTGTGAACGTGTTGCCGGAGCGACGAGCTCTTCCCCCGTGGGGATCCGGGAGTAAATGGGGAAGGTGGAACAGGGAAGAGTGGGAGACTGAGGCAGTGTAAACATTGTGTTGTAACACGCCGCAAAGAGCTGAATAAGTGCCGAGAACCAGGCGCCCCGTCTGCTTTCTTTTGATGTCGGTGCCGTCATAAACATTTGAGAATAAAGTTTTAATATTTCTGTCAAGGTTCAGACAAAAAAATGCTTTTGTTTATTCAGTCGAACCACATGAGTCCTTGCTTTGTGACTACATTTCATTTAAGCACACATGCAGATAAAACCCAAAGGCTGTGGTGACACTGAAGATAAGCGTCCATTTCCTCCATTTTCATGCTCTTTCTTCTCATTTTTTGTTCCAGATGAGATGATGACTGGTGATGCTTCTCCGAGAACTACTGATCGTTGACGACGCTCCAGCTCTCAGCTCTGCCACTGCAGCACACTGAACCACTGTTATTATCCGAAAAGGCTCCCTGGATTGTCTGCACACAGCGCACAACATGGCCTCTGCACTGTGGAGGTGTCCGATGTTTCGCTGCCTCTCGCTCCTTCTCCTCTGCTTCCACTGTTCACAAGGTGAGTTACCATGGAGTTGCGGTGGCAGAAAGTGTTAATGGGATTCTGGTCAACCTTTCAAGAAGCCACTCATTATTCAGCTTATGAATGTGTGGAATTTATTAGCACACATTCATTCACCGCCCCAACAAAAGCTTAACGAAATGGTCTATGTTGAACTTTTATTGAAATAACAACATTTTGTGACTCCTCCATCTGTGATTTTTCAAATAATAGAATAAAGAAAACTGTAATCACTTTCAAGTAAACCAGATTGCTCCATCAGACAAAAACAAATACAATGTGCAATCACTTTGTTAGAACAATGCAAATAAAGTTCAATCTATGCAAAAAATATTTGGCAAAAAATAGCTTATTGTGGCTGCAATTCACCCGTTTTACACTGAATATCTTTCCAAGATAATAACAATAAAGTGCAACCTGTGAAAAACTAAACAAAACAAGTTCAAATATTTGGCAATAAAGAGTTTTACTGAGTTTTACACTGCATATCTTTTCAAAACAATAACGTGCAACCTGTGCAAAACTAAACAAAATGAGTGCAGATATGTGTGAGCCATATGCTCACACATATCAGGAGCATTTTATTTTAAATATTAGTTTTAAAATGTAGCATTCTGAAACTAATTTATTATTCAGTTATTAATCAGTATTTCAGCTCTATTATTATTAACCTGTAAAAGGGGAGGGGGGCTGCAAGTTTCATCACGTTACATTTTTTCCTCCTAAATCGTGATAATGACGAACGTTAACAGTCCACAAAGTTCCGCATGCAGTGGACGTTAACTTAACCCAGCAAGTCTGAACGGTAACGGAACATGACGCAACTTAAACTGTAACGGTGGGAAATGAAGACGCTGTAGACATCTGAACTTCTGATCTACACGATTCACGTGGATGATATATTTTGATTCAAAACGGCGAATTTCGCTGAAAAGCGTCAAGTTTGCAGGTATGAATAAAGTTCTTGAAATAAAAAAATTCTGCATTTCCCCCTGCGCCCCACCTGCAATACTGCCGCGCCCCACCAGAGGGGCGCGCCTCACAGTTTGAGCACCACTGCCTTAAAGGTTCATAACTGTACTCAAGGTACTGGAGCCGCAGACAATAGATGCATTTCCCGATTTATTTCTGCCTAAACCGGATCATTCTGAGCAGCCAGTGTACCTGAAAGCATCAAAAGCGTGATTTAGCGCCAGACTCAGGAAACGGGAAAGTAAATGTCAATGTTTTTAATTGTCTGCAATGACGTCCCCCCGGGCTCTTTTTGGGTTCTTTCCCTCACTTTTTTGATTAGTACATTTGGCTGTAATTACAAGTATTGTCACATAACACTCCCGTCTCGTACATGCTCATCAAAACCACTGATGTTGGTATGTCGGCTTAATGATGATCGTTACATTTTTTCCCCCCTTTCATTCCCATTGTACCGGGAAACAAAGTAACCCAAAATCACATGCTTGTCTGCCAAGCATTGATTACAGATAGATAGTTGAAGCCCATTATTTTGGGGGCTTCCTTTTCAATTTGGATTTTGCCTCTTTTTTTTTTCCTCCCTCTTGCTGTTTTGTTCTTTGATAGATTTCTCTTCCAGTTTTATTTTAGGATGGCTGTGGTGTACAATTTGTTAACAAAGACGTATTGCTATGGAGCAGGATATCCCAGCAGCCCTTCAAGCAGAGATGCATTTTTCTTTTTTGTGGATTAGCAATTTTAGATAATATAAAACAGTCTTACTCAGGCATTTGAAGAATTGCCCTCTGATTTTGCCTGACTTAGAAACTGAGTTGAATAGTCCTGTTGGATTTCTTCGAGAAGAATACTGCTTTGGTATGCAGAAAGCCCAGGTTTTGGGTTTCAGTTGATGTGAGGGCTCTCAGGCCTTAGAATGCATATTTGCCCATCCATCAATAAAGGTGTGTGTGTGTGTGTGTGTGTGTGTGTGTGTGTGTGTGTGTGTGTGTGTGTGTGTGTGTGTGTGTGTGTGTGTGTGTGTGTGTGTGTGTGTGTGTGTGTCCCTCTGAAAACAATATCTGATTCTATCCACATGCAACTCACCTTCAGCCTGTCCAGCCCCCGAGGGCCTGCATCCCGCCGCTTATGATCTACGCTTCCATCATAGTGCCAGCAACAAAAACTCCACTTGATAATTACCTCCTGTCCCTCACCAGGAGAGAGAGTATAATCAGGTTATCGCTTTCACCCAAAACATTCCTCGCGCTTTGAAATGCTCATTGACATAGCTGAATAGAAAGACGTGTTGTTCTCCCTCCTGGTACTGACGTTCCCCAGCCGGAGTGAATGAAGACCAGTCGGGCCTCTGTTTTGACAAACTTTACCAATTTGTGCAAGATCAAATGAAATGAACTGCTATCAGACTTTCAGTTAATGTTATAATCCTTGAAGTGGCTGTATTCAATAGTTTTATATTCAAGTTACTATGTTGAAGGTGGAGCTTGTCCACAGAACAGCGGGTAGTGTTTCCCAGCACCAGAATCCCTTAAAATGAGAACCTCTCATTTTACTGCAGCAGTCTGCCCTGCGCAGTCTTGGTTCTGGGTCTCCTTTTCATCCCCTCCCTCCAGTGGACCTCCGGGTCTGAAAAGTGGAGCCAGCGAGAAAGTGTCTTAAACTGGTATTCTTTCTAATGGCCACCAAGGGGCTCTGGTTGCAAAAAGAAGTCAGATTGTATAGAAGTCTATGAGAAAATGACTCTACTTCTCTCTTGATTTATTCCCTCAGCAAACATTGTAAACATGAGGTTATGGTCTCAATCTGTAGATTCAAGTCTTCTTCAATACATGATGTTGCATGATGTACATGCATGATGTTCATTTAGTAAATGATGGTCCATTTAGAGTCAAACAGACCATAAAGCAGGGTATGCTTTAGGGCGGGGCTACCTTGTGATTGACAGTGTGTGTGTTGTTCAGTCTGATCACTTTCACAGTGTGTTTTCACTTCATGAAAGATAATTGTAACATTGTTGGTCGCATGATTTTGGTTGTACTTTGCTCCAACGACTCGTGTCACTTCTGGTTACAAAAAACCAAGATGGCGACGGCCAAGTTGCCAAACTCGAGGCTTCAAAACCGTAATCCACAAACCGATGGGCAACGACACAGTCGCTACGTCCACTTCTTGTGTATACAGTCTCTGCTCCTGGCCGGAGGAGGTGGAGCAGCTGCTGCAGGGCTCAGAGCTCTCCGACTCCGACAGCAGGTCGGAGGTGGCAGCGAAGCCGGATCTCGGTCCGTCCACGGTGGGCGGGTCACTGCAGGAGGCCCTGCTGGAGTCTGAGCCAAAGGGGTTTCTGGTGAACCTGCATAATTGAATCTGATTTCACCGGAATCCAACATGGTGGTACCTTTGACGAGCATTAAGAATAACTAATAGAAAGAGCCAATCTTCTCCCTGATGGTGTTGTGTACTTATGAAGGTCATGTCGAGGCATCAGCATTGAACTGAGACTGTTTTATAAACAGTTAAAAGTTCCCTGTAGTAACTTAAATAATAACAATGTGAAAGAGTCATTGTGATGAACCTACAGATGATGAATTATCTGAATCTCCCCTCGGTTTTATGGAGCTTTATAGCAAGTTTCAGCTCATTGTTTAACTTTATTGTTTTGGTTCACTCTCACAGTGTAGACTGCAGCAGTTTTCAGCTGAAAACCTCAAAGAACCGACTGTGCATTACCTGCTCAGCACCAAACAGCAGACGGACACAGTAAGCGACTAGCTGGTGAACAGAGTGGAGCATTTAGCAGCAAAGAGACAGGTATGTCCCTCAGGGGTTGGTAGAGACCAAAAAGAGAGCAAAAAAAAGAAGAGAGTGATTATTGGACTAACATACACCTGGCTGCCAGAAATACGACTCCAAACGAATGCTAATGTTGCTCTGTAACTGCTGGAAGTCTCAGTGAGCAACTGTTCACTAACACGGTCGTCATTTCAACGTAAAAGGTGATAACGCTGTTGGTGTAAAAGCCGGCCTGTGTTTCGCCAGTTAGATGCTTTTAATGTGACTAACACTTACAGAATGGAAATGTATTGAATTACTATTGCTGAAAAATCTTTAAATTCAACGCAAAGCTTTGTCTTTTTAATTTTTCTTCTTCTCCATATATGCCTTTTCTTCTTCTCAATGTTTGTACTCCACTTCTTCTTCATCTATATCTTCTATATTCTTCCATATCTATTTCATATAACAGATCTGTGAAGTGACGCGGCTGCTAGAGCAAACTAGGTCATGCAGGTATCCGATTAGTTTGAGATGTTTCAGACCGCCCAGACTGCAGATATGAAGGAAGACGACCAGTTTCAAAGGGAGCAGCCACAAAGGTGGGGCGAGTGCACAGCCACATATCTGCCATGACTGAATGAGAGCTGTTATCCGAGTCTTCAAAGTAAAGAAAGACAGATGTAAGGGGGGGTGGGGATTATGTCGTAAAGTCTAGTGTCAATGCTTTTAGTTAGCTGTTGTGTTTCAATGCCAAGAGGAGAGCAGGCCTTCATAGCTAAATATTGAGCAAAAAGAGAAATGTAAAAAGATTAAAGTGGTTCAAGTCTGCAGAGACGGGGATCAGAGGGAAGAGGCAGTGTTTGTTCAGGTCCGAGCAAGTGTTCCAGCATGGGCAGAGTGAGCCGGTGACAGACTTTATATGCATTTTTTTTGGAATTATCAACTCAGTAGAAGCAAGAATAATGTGTAATAAAAATGCAAAAAGGAGCAAAAGATTCCAGACAAAGACTTGTTTGTGTTAGTTTGAGCCCCCGCTGCTCTGGAGAAACACACGGCACATTTCTCTCTAAGGAGGACTGTGAAATATTCCTTGGTTAAACATACCAGCATGTTTGTGTTTCTCCCCAAAAGGTTGTAAAGGTTACCAATACGTCTCGGCACAACATTTGTCTCAAGCGGTGCCATACATTGTGCTGATGGAGGACCCTCCCTCGTGCCACACTGGCATTTCCAGAAGCATTGACTGAATGGGGAAG